GTTTTTACAAGGTCATAAGCTACAATTAGGAGTCTGATTGTCTTGAGTTAGTATGCGAGTTTTTTTCTAAAGAGATTTCTTATACGACGACTTCTATATTTCCAAAAGTGAACGAACTTAAAAACCTACTCAAATACAAATATATAATTTCAAAAACGAATGAACTCAAAAACCGACTCAAACACGGATGACGTACCAAAGTTCCGGCAAAAACGTCTTCAATTTTTATAATAGTAGATATGTAGTTACTACCTTTGGGCAGTTTTCGATCTTTTCTATTTGTAGAAGAAGCAATCATGTAATTTACTTCTAGACACAAATCGGTAGCAGAACAAATGACACATCTTATGAACAAATCATACCAATTTCTATTCAACAAAATTTCGAAAAAGAATAGTTCCCTGACCCCTGTTATGCTGACTTCTATGGCAGGTAAAATAATATTATACATGGCTGGGCACTCATAGTTTTTTTTTGTTATTTATTGTATCTTACGGAGTACTTCTTATGTAAGAACAGATCTATGACTGATAAGAATTGTTACCTGAAGTTTAAAAGTTATCTTCTCAAGGATTAATGAACTTATACTAGTTTCTTATTTTGTATTTATGAAGGATAGACGTATGGAATTGTTGACTGCAGTATAAAGTGCTGAACTTCTTGATTTTGTTTCATTACGAATATATCTCCATGCTTCATGTCACACCTTAGCACTCCATTTTGCTATATTTATGTCTCTAACTCTCTATGTCATCACTATCTTCAAATCCTCATTAATTTTGATGCTCCAGTGTCCTATTCTTTGTCTTAATGCTCAGATGCACATATATTTTTTTTATATCACAGATAGATAATTTAGAGCGTGAAATCCGGGAGAAGAGAAGGCATATGCGAGCCCTGGAGCAAAAACTTATGGAAAGCGGTGAGGCATCAGTTGCTAATGCTTCCATGATGGATATGCAACAGGTGATGCATCCGGACTTCATAGTACCAAGTTTCTTAATTTTCATGCAATTTTTCTCTGTCCAGGCTCCAGAGCCCCTGGCGTTCTTGATGTTCATGTGATGTTCTTAGTAACATTTTTTGACTTTTGTGAAAACAGACGATTACCAAGCTGACAGCTCAGTGCAGTGAGAAGGCTTTTGAATTAGAGGTGATATTTTAAAAATAAATGTTTCAGTATGCTGTCTAAAATAAAATTTATCCCATACCAAGTATTAACTTTTCTCACGATTGTGCCTTTTTTTAATGCTACAGTTAAGATCAGCTGATAATCGCGTCCTTCAGGAGCAGCTACAACAGAAGGTGCTCTCCTTTTCTTTATTTCTTTCTTATCGTTGTTCAGTTTAAAATGTTTGTGAATGGTGAATGACTGAATGGTGCAATTTCAATACTGGTTTAACACAAAAATCACCCCTACTTGCAGAATGTGGAAATCAATGAGTTACAAGAAAAAGTTCTACGCCTTGAGCAACAGCTGACAACAAATACTGAGGCATCCCCTGAACAATGCACAGAACATGAGCTTCATGATTTGAAATCTAAACTTCAGTTGAAGGTTCCTTTTCTGATCCTCATTTCCGCACAGTTTGTTGAAATTTTTAATGCTTTCCGTGCAATTTTTTGAATTGATATACACAATATTTTTAATATGCTTTGACAGGAAGCAGAAAGTGAAAAGCTTAAATACGAGCACATGAAAATCACTGAGGAAAATCGTGAATTGGTCAACCAGAACAGCACATTATGTGAGGAAGTTGCCTATGCAAAAGAACTGGCATCTTCTGCTGCTGTTGAACTTAAGAATTTGGCTGAAGAAGTTACCAAGCTATCTGTACAAAATGCTAAGCAGGCAAAAGAGTTACTAATTGCTCAGGAGTTGGCACACTCTAGGGTTCCTGGTAGAAAAGGCCGCTCAGCTGGCAGGGGCAGGGACGAGGTTGGAACTTGGAGTCTTGATTTAGAGGATATGAAGATGGAGCTACAGGCTAGAAAACAGAGGGAAGCTGCCCTAGAAGCTGCTTTGGCTGAGAAGGAGCATCTTGAAGAGGAGTACAAGAAAAAGTTTGATGAGGCAAAGAAAAAGGAACTATCTCTGGAAAACGATTTAGCAGGAATGTGGGTACTTGTTGCTAAGCTGAAGAGAGGGGCTTTAGGCATATCTGACTTGAATGTTGATGATCGATCTATTAATCTAGCTGACATTACTAACGGTACAAAGGAAAACAAAGCTGACAAAAATGTAGCTGTAGTTGAGAAACAACTTTCAGATAATACCGTGAAGTCATTGACTGCAGAGGAATACAGAAATCCAGAATTTGAACCTCTTCTTGTTCGTCTCAAGGTATGTTTAAATATGCTGCATATGCATGTTATGTTATGACTGGATGTTTATTGTCTTCAGGAGTAATCCTGCTATGTAGAGTAGCTAATATGTGCCACTGAATAAAACAAATTCTTCTAAATGCAGGCTAAAATTCAAGAGATGAAGGAGAAGGAAACTGATTCCTTGGGTGACAAAGATGGAAATTCCCATGTCTGCAAAGTATGTTTTGAATCTGCCACTGCTGCAGTTTTGCTTCCTTGTCGGCATTTTTGCTGTAAGTAACAGTCCCATCTATCCATGAATTTTATTCAGATGCTACTTCCTCCGTTTCACAATGTAAGACTTTCTAGCATTACCCACATTCATTTAGATGTTAATGAATCTAGACATATATATGTGTTTAGATTCATTAACATATATATGTATGTGGGCAATGCTAGAAAGTCTTACATTGTGAAATGGAGGGAGTAGTATGTAAGCTGATCGTTCTTGTTTACTAACTGCTGAAATGCTTCTCTTCAGTGTGCAAGCCTTGCTCGCTTGCCTGTTCAGAATGCCCTCTATGCCGTACAAGAATCGCAGACAGGATAATTACCTTCACCTAAAGTGCATGTTATCTTAAAAGGTACCAAAATCTCTCCACTGGCATCTTATTTGCTTTTTACTTGGTGCGCTAACCTCTGAAATTTCTAACCAAATAATGCTGTGCGTATCTGTCAGGTAACTTGAAGCACCCAATCTCTTCTTGTAAAATCATCAGTGGTATATGATTCTTTTTTCCCCTAGCAAAGAAGGTGCCTTTTTATGTTCCTTCTGTGTTTGTATCCCAATTCTTTTTTTTTTTGGTTTGCTCTATAGCTTTCCCAGTTCAACCTGTTCTTTGTTGTACGAGAAGTTACAAGATATAACTTCTCTGCAAATATGTATAGATATGCGACTCGACAGTATAATACATTTGCTTTTTTTTTTCTCCTTTGGCTTTTGGGAAGTAAAGCAACCAAAGAACATGAGATCCAAGAGACAGAGACTGGTACACTTTGCCTTTTATCCGTTGTCCTTTGCAGCAGTCTACTGCCAAGGCGGCCTGTACAGCAGTACAGGCGTCACGGGCGCGTTTGATTGTTGGCAGTTGGCACTGATAATTTGTTCCACCTGCGTTTCTTTCTCCAAGTACGTTGTTGAGTCAGGTTAGTGATTTTTGTTGAAGGGCTCGTCTAGTGCGTTGCTGTGAGCCTGTGATCTGGACGTCGTGACGAAGCTTGTGAACTAAAAGGCAGGTGTGTGATAAGCTGTGTTGCTGGCTTGCAGTTGAAGCTGGTGAGGTTTGTGCGTCCTTTTCTGCTCCTAGTTGAAAGAGTGCTTGCACTTGTGACTTGTACAATCTGGTTGTTATTGACTCGCTATTACAAGACCGCCCATCGGTGTCTCAGTCTCACTACCGACGGATGGTGAGACCAGCCAAATCGTTTTTTCCACTTGGACCCAGGCTAAAACCTGCCAAGTTATAACCGGGACTCATGCCCTGGTAGTACTTGCAGTTGCAGAATCACTATCAGGTGGGTGTCCAATTGGATCCTTAACCAGTGGACGTTTAGTGTTAAATTTGAATCTTCCAAATGTGAAAATCTAGTTAACTCCTGTTAAAATTCTATGGAATCTATTTAAAACTCTTACATCCAAACCGAATTTAAAGATTTGACGCTTATATGCGAATTACAAAATATCTATAGCAAAGAATGCATCTTCTTCAAATGTACGGCGTGCCACTATACTGTGTACCGATATCACATATCTATGATCGAAGTTGCAAACACTTGAACTGAGAGTGCTCTCTCCGTCTAAAAAAAAATCTATAATTGAATTTAACATAGTATTCCTTCGGGGCCCCTTTGATTTGCAGGAAAAATATAGGAATTTTGGAGGATTTCAATTCTGTAGGAAAATTTTATATGAAGCCCTTTGAAACCTTTGAAATTCCTATGGAATGGACTATCCTATAGAGATTTTGGAGAAAATTTAGTAAGAGCTTCAACCTCTTGTAACTTTCCTTTGAGTATATCTCTCTCATCCTGTTCGTGCGTTTTTCCTGCGGTTCAATCAAACGGTCATTTCTCTATTTTTTCCCGCGTTTTGCTATCATCTGTTTTACACTTACATTCCTATTAAAATCCTACGTTTTTCCTGTTCCTACGTTTTATCAATCATGCGATTCAAAGGGGCCCTCAGTCTCGTAATATAACAACAATCGAAGGGAGTACTCCCTCCGTCTAAAAAAAGCCATTCCTAACATCTGATGTGGAGTTAGTGGAGATGGAGAATGACTAAAATGACCTTAATCATTGAAAAAAAAGTAGTAAAAGTCATGTGTAGGTAAAGGATATTAAAATGATAAAACTTATCGTTTTACGTGTTGAGTATAGGTAGGATGGTAGAAGTTATTTTTTGGTGGGACAAAATTTAAATTGTAGGAGTTGAGTTTTTTTTTTTTTTTTTTTTTTTACGGAGGGAGCATACCGTGTCATATACTACTGCATCCTCCTATCCATCAACCCAACCAACGGTTCTCTCAATCAATCTCACCATCCGACGGTCGCAACGAGCCAATCGGAGAAGAGAAAATCAAAATAATCAATCAATAAAACAGAAAAAAAGTAAAAAAAAAAAAAGAAGAAGAAGAAGAAAGTAGCAAGCCGGAGTCGAGAGCCTCTCAACCCATCGGCCATCGCCCACCACCGCCATTCGCCACCACCTCGCCTCCGATTCAGATCTCCCTCCCCCCCTTCCATTCCACGCCCATCGGATTCCCTCCCGATTCCGCTCCATTCCTCCCCGCCTCCGCCCCCATCTCCGCCGACCTCGTCGTCGTCGGCGTCCTCATCCAGGCAGTCTCGGCGGCGATTCGATCGCCGCCACGGTCGCCGATGGAGGCCATCCGGAAGCAGGCGTCCAAGCTCCGGGAGCAGGTCGCCCGGCAGCAGCAGGTGAGCCCAGATTCGAGATTCCCTACCCCTCCTCGTGGATTCCTCGATCCCAGCTCGCCGTGTCTCCCTCCGGTCGAGATCTCGTGCTGCCGCTCGCGCGCGCTCTCCCATGGCTGACACCTCGGGAGTTTCGCATCGCAGGCCGTGATGAAGCAGTTCGGGGGCGGGTACGGCGCGGACGGCGCGTTCGCCGACGAGGCCGAGGCGCAGCAGCACTCCAAGCTCGAGAAGCTCTACATCTCCACGCGCGCCGCTAAGGTACTTGGATTTGTTCCCTTGCAGTTTTACTTATGGTAACCAGCCCTGCCTTAGCTATGTTCTTGCTGCCATTTCGCCTTCCATTCCATTGCCTCGCTTAGAAATGTGCTGCCCTTTTGCACCGCCATTGCAGCACTTCCAAAGGGACATAGTTCGCGGGGTGGAGGGATACATTGTCACAGGGTCGAAGCAGGTCGAAATCGGTAAGGAAATGCTGGACTGTTGTTTCTCAATTGTTCGCGAGTACCGCATCCTGTTTATCATTTTTGAATGTGGGTTCGCAATGTGCTTTTGTGGTTTGCAGGTAATAAGTTATGCGAGGATGGCAAGAAGTATGGAGCGGAGAACACTTGCACCAGCGGAAGCACGCTGTCGAAGGCGGCGTTGTGTTTCGCCAAAGCACGCTCACTGATGGAGAAGGAGAGAGGGAACCTGCTGAAAGCACTGGGTACTCAGGTACTGTTTGATGGTTTCATATTCATAATCTCCATATGATATACATAGGCATACTATTATGTAAGATCAGTGACTGATGTGTTATCTGTTATGCTTGAAATTCTTCTGCATTTAATTAAGTAGAGCCGGTCTGATGCGTTATCTGCTATGCTTGGAATTTTTCTGCATTTGATCAAGTAGAGCCAGAGAATGACACATAGATTCGATTCATGCATTGTCTCCTTGATTCGTATGTCAGTTACCATACAACAAGACAAAACACCATCTTGTAATATGTTTTTTTAACCCTGTCTATGACTCAACGTAATGTGCTGTGCTCGTAGGATAACAATATATATTATGGTTATTTGTGGTAATACATCCGTGCTCATTAATGTATCTAGGCTCTAGATTTGCTATTTAGTTATTGAAGGTGAGTGATTTGCCAGGTTCAGAGCCTTGTCCTAGTTCCTTTTATGCTCTTAACTATTTCAAACATGCCCCCCCCCACCCCCAACACACACACACACAAACAAAGTAGAAGATAGAAAGTGGGGAAACTTACTGCATGTACTACTGTTCACGGGTGGGAGAAATGACTTGTAGCGTCTAAGATTTCAACTGTAGGCTGTAGCTGGTTGCTAGCAGCGGATGGCTACCTATTGGCATATGACTTCATTTTGTGATGTTATGTCTTTACAGTTTTTATTTTGTTATTAACCTAGCACCTGTTAAAAACATGTATCATTTGTAAAATATCCATTACCATGCACAGGCTAATAACTACCTTATTCTGCAATGAATGCCATAATGCCCTTGCAAATTGTAATCTTGTGCATATATTTTACTCAAATCTGCATGAGACTGTTCTGACATATGGATTAATATCATTAGGTGGCAGAACCGTTGAGGGCTATGGTGATGGGAGCTCCTTTGGAAGATGCTCGCCATCTTGCCCAAAGATACGACAGGATGCGTCAGGAAGCCGAAGCACAGGTTATCTCACTATGAAACATACTGTCTTTACTACCCTTCATATGTTGCCTATTGTTATGGTGATTTCTATTAAACATACTGTCTTTACCCTTTTTATCTGTTGGCTGCCTATTGTGATGGTGGCAGATTTGAGTTTCACACTGATATGTTATGCCACAATTTTATTTTCATTGATCATATAAGAAACTTAGTAAGGTACTGTGAGTTCTGCAGGCTATTGAAGTCTCGAAGCGCCAAATGAAATTAAGAGAAACATCTGGGAATGGTGATATGATTTCAAGATTAGAGGCTGCTGAATCAAAGTTGCAAGAGTTAAAGTCAAACATGGGGGTTCTAGGCAAGGAAGCCGTTGCATCAATGACTGCTGTTGAAGCTCAACAGCAAAGACTGACCTTGCAACGACTAATTGCAATGGTATATTCTATGCTTGTTTAGTTTGGCCAATTGATTAGTTCCTTGTTTGCCTTGAGAAATAAAATTTCTTTACATGACACTACTGACTTACTGAAGGTCGAATCTGAGAGAAGTTATCACCAGAGGGTTCTGCAGATTCTTGATCAACTTGAAAGAGAGGTACTGATGATTTTGTACAGCATCCTTATCAAACTTATACAGAAAAGGAACTTGTTAACTATCGAAAAAGAACTGCTTTGTTTTGGTTATCCTGATTCAGTCTCTTGTTTCTTTACTTTTACAGATGGTATCTGAGCGCCAAAGAATTGAAGGAGCACCTCCTCCAGCTGTTGAGAGTTCTATGCCACCACCACCTTCATATGAAGAAATTAACGGTGTTTTCATGAGGAATCCAACAGTCGCTGAATTGGTGGAAACTGTGGAATTCTTCTTGGCTGAGGTACCCAATCATCACTTCACCACAATGCACAAGTTTGTAGCTTACTACTACAGTACTTCTAATAAGTTTTGTCTGTTGAGATTTTATTGCTGATTTCTATGCATGGTCATCTTTTTGACAGGCCATCCAGTCTTATCGTGCTGAGAGTGAAACTGAGCTCAACCTGGCAGCTGGTGACTATATAGTTGTCCGGAAGGTACGGCCCTATCTTCCCATTGGACATGTTTCTAACCATAAACATATCTTTGCTGGACTTTTGTGGGCAAAGTTGGCTACACTAAACTTGTGTTCATTAACCTGCTCAATCAGGTGTCAAACAATGGATGGGCAGAAGGTGAATGCAGAGGGAAAGCTGGCTGGTTCCCTTACGACTACATCGAGAAAAGGGACCGTGTGCTTGCAAGTAAAGTCGCCCAGGTCTTCTAGGCGTTCAATGAGCCATACATACATAACCCTGGTGTTGTACACTGTATTATGATCGTTCGTGATCTTCAAAGACCCTCTGATCAGAGAAATCACAAATATTCTTTTGTTCTATTATTGTCATTATCACTACCCCTTTTGTCAAAACCAGTGCAGCCTTTTGTATGACATCTTGTTGCATGGCTAGCTTTCTGAATATTTCAAAATATACAGCGGAGAGGACACTGTTCATATACATTCATTCTCCCTAAAAAATACACCCTTGATAGTCTTTTAGGTATATATCCGAAGGACAAATTAATCAATGTTTCAAAGTCGCAAAGACCTTTTGTTGAAGAATCACAGAATTTAAATTGAGGGATTAAACATTGGTTTCAGCTCATTTCAGCTGTATGGTGATGTGCCGATCTCATTTTTACAGTTTGTATATGTCTTGCGTATGTATATGTCTTCTGAAAGTCTGAACTAAATTGAAAAAAAAACAAGAAAATGTTCTGAGCTACTCCCTCCGTACCCTAATATAAAAGATTTTGATATTGACATTTTGCTTGTACTGTTTGAACATTCATCTTATTCAAAAAATTTTAGAATTATTATTTTTTTTGACTTACTTTATTATCCAAAGTACTTTAAGCATAATTTTTCATTTTTTATATTTACACAAATTTTTTAAATAAGACGAGTGATCAAACAGTGCAAGTAAAATATCAAGTCCCCATCGGTTGGTAATACTTGTTATAAGCTATAATGGCTTATTAGCGATTAAAAAATGATATGCGAGTAAAACTTTTGTATGTATGTTCGTACTGATTGAAAAGACAAAGCTAAGAAAAAAACTATGTTGAAAAAGCATCAAAATCAAATTCAAAATCAAGTTTTAAAATTCAAATTTTGGTTTTGGCTTGTAAGCCATAGGGCAAACGAATAAAACGATGAGGCCCTCAAAGGGCCTGTTTGGAGGAGTTTTAAATTCTGAGAAGCAGCTGTTTGGTAGGCAGCTTCAGAGAATCTGGAAAAGCTCTGAAACCCAGCTTCTCCAGCTTCTGGCTTATTAGTTCATTTTTCAGAATCTCAGAAGCCGTGGACTGTTTGGGGCAGCTTCTAGCAGAAACAGTTTTTGAAAAAAGCTGCAGCTGAGACAAGCTTACCCAAACAGGGCCTAATCTCTTAGGTAGTGTTTGGTTGTAAGGATGGGATGGGATGGGATGGGATGAACCCACTTTTAGGGGTGTTTGGTTGAGAGGTGAGTGGGACGGGATGGTCCCTGGAGAGGAATATTCCTCTCAGATCTGGGATGAAACGGTCCGCCAAAATCGGCCGGACCAATCCATCCCACTTCGACGGAGCCCACGGCGTCAGCTCCCGTAGCCTCAAGCTCGGCTCCGCCGCAGCGCCGCCGCCTCATCCGCGTCGACCTCCGCCTCCGCGACCGGCCGTCACCTCGTCCGCGACCGCCTCCGCGACCGACCGCCGCCGCTCGTTGTCAGCTCCCACACCCTCCCGCTCAGCTCCGCCGCGGCACCGCCACGGCCGCCCGTCCCTCCCCCGGCACCGCTCCTTCCCCTGGCGCCGCTCCGTCCTCCTCCGCCTGCTCCCTCCACCTCGCCTCGCCTCCACGACCGGCCGCCGCCTCGTCTGCGACTGACCGCCGTCGCTCGTCCGCGTTCGCCTCTGCGACCGGCCGCCGTGGCTCGTCCGCGCCTCGTCGCCTCCGGGACCGGCCGCCGCTCGTCTGCGCCTCGCCTCGCCTCGCCTCCACGACCGGTCGCCGCCTCGTCCGCGACCGCCTCCGCGGCCGACCGCCGTCGCTCGTCCGCGCCCGCCTCCGCCTCTCCTCCGCTCGCGCTGACGAGCTCCTCCGTCCCCATTCTCACCACTCGCTCCAACCTAGCCGCTGGGAGCAGACGGACTTAACTGTCCGTGAAACATTGTCCATCCCATCCCATCTCAATCCTTTCTACCAAACAAAAAAACTATAACCATCCCATACCATAAACCAAACACACAACTCGAACCATCCCATCCTAAAAAACTGGGATAGGTCTAACCCATCCCACTTGGTCCCCAAACCAAACACATCTTAAGGGACGGAGGGAGTACTATACAGGTCATACGTGAGACGTGGCCCTGTCAGGTGGGACCAAAGCTTTGATCACATCTTACACTGCCGGGTGGGGTCAGCATCTGTCAGACGGTCCCACGAGTTCTTATCCCCTTCTCTGCTTCCGCAGTTTGTGTGGGCTTTGCCGCTGCTGTCCCCTGCTTATCCCCTCCTCCTCCCGGGTTCGCATTCCGTCGAACACCATGACGGCGGCGGCGGCGGCAGCGGCGGTGACCCTCCTCCGCCTCCCTCTCGCCCGACTCTCCTCCCACCTCCGCTCCCTCCCTCCCCGTCCCATACCGCCCCCTCGGCTCCGCGTCTACACCTCCCACCGCCTCCTCTCCTCCCTCCTAGCTCCCAGCCACGTCCCCGCCGTCTCGTCCCTGGCCGAGGCGGTGGCTGCGCCGGATGGTGAGGGGGTCGAAGTGGAGGAGGAGGAGGACGAGGAGGAGGAGGCAGAGGCGCGCCCCACCACCTTCGTGCTGCCGCGGCTGCCGCGGCCGAAGCTGAGCGTGAAGGAGCGGAAGGAGCTCGCGTCGTACGCGCACGGCCTCGGCAAGCGGCTCAAGTCGCAGCAGGTCGGCAAGGGCGGCGTCACGCCGTCCGTCGTCGCCGCCTTCAACGACAACCTCGAGTCCAACGAGCTCCTCAAGGTGCCTCTCCCGTTTCCCCATCCTCTCGCATTATAAATTCGTGACATGATACAACACATAGTTTACCTACAAATACAATGAGAACAAATACATCAATTTCAGTGTATGATATACCAATGGAAATGGGATGCTTCATCATGCTGCTGAATACTGATATACAATGATGTCATGTGATTTTGTTTAACTGGGAATTAGGATCACTGTAGGGTATATTCATCAATAGTTATTAAAGTTAACTAATGCTTTTTATGGTTCGAATCTGATTGTAGGAGTAGATAGGATGCTGAATTGCTGATAACCGCATGCTTTTGGTTTAGGTAGACATGCAATATTCAATTTAACCATGACTAGGTTGACCTTGAGTTTTCCTTATTATTGGCTTGTTCTCTTTCCACCTCGTTTTGACGGCCCTCATATTTCTTGTTAGGTAATGCAAAGGGTGGTTTACATGCTAGCTAATTCTGTGAAAAAAATGGTGATTGCTTTTTTCCAAACAAACAAACCAGCATGAGCTCATTATTACAGTACCTTATATGTTATACTAGTCACAGTACATGTTACAGATGTATTTTCCTCCTGTTTGTATTCCTTCCACACAATTGCGCTGGATACAGTCTTTAAACTTCTTAATTGGGTTGTTGTTTTGAACTTTACCCCCATGGCATATATTAGATATCCTTAACTTCTTTTGTTACTATAGGTCATATGCACGCCTCTTCAAATTGAGAAGTTTTCTGACTTCTAGGGTCTTAAGTGAGTAACAGGGATTTCAGGTTAAACTTGTTCTGATTGGTCTTGTGTTAGTATTTTTGGTTTGGCTGAGTTGCATAATTGTTGGGCTTTTTTCTGTTTGCATTTGGTGGTTTTAACCTATGGTCAGCCCTGCCACAAATCATATAGGTAACACAAAACCATTGTTCATTCGGAAGTCATTACAACCCACAGGCCTTTTTTTATTCAAAAGTCTCTCTTTCAAGAAGCAGCAAAATTTGTGTTATAGTGCAAGCAAGCGATCTGACTTCTAACCTCTGTGAATGCATATAGTTATTAAACCAAAATACTCAAGTTTTTCATAAATATGGAATTGACTTATACTGAATAAACTCCACATCTTTATTCTGGCCTAGCCAAGTTGTGACAGACAATTGTTCGAATTGAGAAGCTAAGTGCCTGTGTCCAACACTTAATTTGCACACAAATTTTCCAATAAGGCTGTGTTCCATGTGTGCCTGTGTTCCATTCTACGTATTTCGTATGTAAGAGAGCCAATAAGCCTGTAGGATTTAGTGTCTTGTGCCTTTTCTTGCTTTAGTGAGCCCTTTTGTTCGGCTTTCCTTTCTGTGATGTTAAGTTGTTCTTCAACATTCGGCATATGTTATGACAGCTAAAAATTCATTTGAACTGCCCTGGAGAGCTGCCTGACGTGATACTACAACTTGAGGAGTCAACCGGATCCATTGCTGTTGACCAAATTGGTCGATCTGTCATTCTATATCGTCCTAGCACCAGTAAGATGAAAAAGAGAGAAGAAAGTGCTAGGAATAGAACAAGATTTGTAAGATCTAGAGAACCATCAGAAGAACAACCTAGAAGCAGCACAAGCAAGAGATTTATAAAATCTGGAGGAGCATTTAGGCCACAACAGAAGAGAAGACCATTAGCATCTAAGGAATCGTCGTATGGGCGAAGATAGATGCCACATTCAATCCTTCATCTTGTTTTTTTTCATTGTCTAGACTTATGGAAATCATGTAAACTTTAGACCATCTAATTTGATAATAGATATTAGTGCTGAGTTTTTATCAAACTATGGTCCAACCATATGCTGTAAATTTGTGTAGGATCATTTCCTCTTTATTCAAAAGGAAGTTCTAAAGTAATGCACAATAAGAAAATAAGATGCACCTGAATTTGAAGCTCCACACTGGAAACCTGACTAGCTGAGAAAATCTGACTGATGAACAACTCATATGCCCTATTCAAGGTTTCCAGCAAAGTTTGGTAAAATATATCAAATCTGACTGATGTAAACACGGTTGAATTAGTTCATGCCTATATCTAATCTGACTGATGTAAACACGGTTAAATTAGTTCATGCTTGTGGTCCTTCAAATCCCAACAGAGGAACATGCATTCCTCTCATGCTCTCATTTATGTTGGTCGTTATTGGGCCGCAAATGTCAGGCCTTAGCCTTTCACAGCTTTACAGCCCGAGGCGGTAGAGCTGGGAATTGGGAGAGTTTCCCCTGGAAACTGATGCAGAACAAGCAGTGATATGCAGAACAAGCAGTAACAGTCTATGATCTCTCCAATTGCGGCGGCTTTTGGCCCTGGAACTGAAACAACTGTTGACGATAAATTTTGTCAACTTTCAGGTTAGCCATATGCCTAGAGAATGTAATAGAGTACATTTAATTTCTAGCACGAGCAAGATGAAAAAAGAGGGAAGAAAGTGCTAGGAATACTAGCAAATGATTTCGCAAGATCAAAACAACCATCAGAAGAAGAACACACGCTAAAGCAGAACATATTTGTTGGGTACTGTGGTGCTCTACAATTATTTGAAATGATTGCAAGTGCATATTTGTTGGGTACTTTTTTGTGGTGCTGTCTGCAGCAGGGCCAGCAGCAACCGAAGATCCATGGGCATATTCAACTCAAAAAATTATGTTAAGACTTAAGAACCACCCGGCCTTTTTAAATTGTGTTCCTCATCATCAATAATTATCAACGTTCTAGGCCTCCAACCATTTTTTTTTAAAAAATAAATAGGCAGGAGGATTTCATTTTACATATTATTAAATAGAGGAGAGGAAAAGGACAGAGCAGTTGAAAAACAAAGAAATAAAAGGAAAAAAAAAGAAGTAGTTTTACCCTCCAGCTTAGGTCAGCTAGGCTCTTTGCCCCTGCTCGGCACTTAAGCATGAGCCTCTTTGATGAGGACTATCTTGCATTTCGCTCATTCCATAATTCCCAAACGACGGGAGCATATATAAATATATCATAAAGGAAAAAGGCTAGCTATATATACTAGTAACTTTTTCTTACTAAATTCTTATTACTGCAATAAAATATCGCAAAGGTCTTATTTGACCAGGATCTTCACCAAGTCACCAACCGTTTTAGCATAATATATAGCATCATCACCCGGGTTAAGACCATGCGTCAGCTCCACCTAGGGTTGAGATGAATTAAGCGACTACCCAGAGCAGTCTTAATTTCACATTACAACTTTGAAGTACATGTATAACTTTGTGGTTTCTGAACATCTCAATTTCATGAAGCTCATTCATGACTGTGGACTCTCCTTCTAGAGGCACTGCAATTTTTTTTTCTGCGTTCTAATTGAACCTACCACAGAAGGAAAATTTGAGGTTTTGTTGCCTGGGTAAATCAACAAAACGCTGTCGTTTACACAAAATGCTACCCCCTTTTGGGTTTGTCACAATCGTAATGGTTGGTGAGTTCTTGCAATCTTTGACTTGTCATTTGATTGGAGCCAAAAGGTCACTGATGCATAACAGAGTTTCAACATTTGGTCCTTCACAATCCAATTGCAGTTCCCATTTGTTGTTGAAAGCTTCTGATCGAGTTTGTGGTGTTTGGACGTAAATGTTACATGAAGGCACATGAGACACATGCATGGTGATTAATGGGATAGTCAAAAATGTACTGACGTTTATGAATAGTTCTAAATGAAGTTAGTGATGATGATAAGTACTGCTATTCAAAGTCCACGCACCTATCATGAACGTACTGTTCATCATATACAACTGGTCTCAAGCTCAAGCCTTATCAAGCACACTTTGCATTTCATTTTCCCTTTTTTTCGAGGGTAATGGCATTTCATTTTCCAATAGCGGATCAAATTATCTTCTCCATTAAGCTTACAATAATGCATTATACATTAATATTATGAGTTATTTTTTAAGAAATGTTTGAGAGTAATTCCTTGGCGTTGTAATTGAATACTTCGGGGCTATTCAGATTGATGCAATTTCAAACCATACCATTTTTTATGTAAAATTACCAAAAATTTGCATATATTTAGTTTTTTTTTTGCAAACTTTAGTAAATACATAAAAAATCATGCCAAAATTTTGGTAATATTACCAACTTACCAAAATTTGGTAAGGTTTATTTTGTTTACAATTTGAATAGCCCCTTCCATGCTCATATCAACCTCTGATGTGTATCATTTGTGTGATCTCCACAAATGACGTGTCATTTACCTAGGACCACCTTCTCTCCAACAAAAAACAAACATAATCCTACCATTTTTTTCACTTTATTTAAGAACAAGAAATACCTCTTCTGTCTTGCCTTTTGCTGCATCTTGAATTTTCCAAGCTGCCATGTCCTTTCCGTGAAAACTAACACCTGAGCAGACGTGGTCCTCGCGTGACACGTATCAGAAATTCTACCTACAAAAGCATAAAAGCATAATTTCATTTCTGGGAGGAAATTAACACAGGAACAACAAATGAAATGATGGTGATCATCTGACGGCTGGTGTGTTGGGGTCTTCTTCAGGTTTGGCCTCCCAATATTTCTTGTTGCTACCACGGGAAGCAAAATAATGCTATCAGATTAGGCCCCGGCCACCCTGCTGAGAGCCCTCTTACTCCACCCAGCTGCTTCCAGACACCAGATCATCTGTCAGATGGTGGCCTTCCTCCTTCCATTTAGATCCACTGTCACTATGGTGAATGATAAATTAAAGAGAAAAAAAACAGAGGTGAACAGTACTATACCTCTTTATTTATGCTCTCTGTATAAAGATGGATATGATTTTTGGCATAGAAAAGTAAAACCACGTGAATATAGCTTGTTGTTGTTTCTATTTTATTTTAAATAACAACTCGATTATTTATGGGGAAAGTCCCCCCATGACTTTTCATTAAGAAGACCAAACTGGCTGAGAAAGACCATGAACCCTACCCCCTATCACATGGACTCGTTTTCTACGGATCAATCCTTAGTCCGTGGGGCATCCTTCATAGGAGGATTCTTAACACATATTTTTACTACTGGCTTACTTTTTTAACCAGGCTTAAAATCCGCTCATATGGGGAGTCAAACCTATAGTCTAGAGATGCTACCTAAGCACTATAACCGTTAGACTATATGCCCTTTCGTTTCTTCGTTCTCTAACGTGAAATGAGTTTTCATCGTCATCTATTGACGTTAAGGCATTTTTTGGAACATGGAATTCTTCCCAACTACTGTGAGAATTGAAGATTCCATGGAATTCATATGGTTTTAGCCCTCCTTCAAATTGCGGGAATTTTATAGGAATTTTATTTTTTTTATCAAAAGTCATGTAAAATTATAGTGTATTCCAAAGGAGGCCTTTAAACTATAGAAACTCTGCCTTTAGTCACTGATCGACCTCACATATCATCTTATTCATGTCTGATGTGCCATCAGCAAACCGGCCAAACAGAAGTTGGTCTTCCTCTAGGATGCATTTCAAAATTTACACGTAGCCAAACAGAAACTGATTATTTTAGAGAAAAGGTACGCATGGCTAAAAACATGCACGGATTAAATTAGAGCATGAGTTAAGCATGACATGATTTCCTTGAAAAGTAGCAGCCAGCCATTGAAATCTCTGGAAAAGAAAGTACAAAAAAAATATAAATCAGCCAGTGAAGGATTGAATTAATGTTGCTGATTTAAGGTACTACTCAGATTCTAAGCGATGATGTTTTAGATGCTACTAGCTGTTAAATCCTTCAAGCTTTGGTGACTAATATATACGAAAAGTTCGAACATTTTGTTACGTAAAAATGATATCATTAGATTAGATTGTCATGATAAAATATTTCAGCTTTTTATATAGTTGTACGTTGAAAAGATTTGATGGACACATAGGATAGGACAGAGGAAATGTCAAAAGTAAACACTGGAGACCATATCATGAGCATCCTAAATGCCAAGGTGTATTATTAGGAGCCCTCTTTTATTCCTCAGCATTTGGAAGTTCATAATTCTCAACTGGTTAGTTTTCTTATTGTGAAATTAACTATCCGTAGAAATTTAACATAGATGCTTGTATTTATAGCTAATTATTCATTTAATGATAGGCATCAAAGTATATTTGTGGTGACTTCGAAAAAAATTCTAAACTTTGATAACAACAAAATATCAAGTTTACAGAGGAAACGATTTCATAGGCTTCCGACGACCACATTTCTTATTTATCCTTCGTCTTGCATCTAATCTAAAGTAGTGAAAAGATTAACCTTTCCCATCATCAGATTGTGTCACGTCATTGGAATAATAAGAATCGTCGGATGCAACTGAGATTGAACAGCTCCCGTTAGATCCTAGCTGGAATTGTCTTGCATTGTTTTGATGTTCACAGCCACACGTCATGCTTAATACAGAGTGACCTAATTGCAGGCAATCATCAACTATGGCCAAAACAAGTTCGAGATTTTATCTCTGATAGTGACATGCATACGATGATCAAAGGACTAGGCCATTATCAATTCACTGTATGTTCTGATTAAATCGTCCGACAAAAAGGCGCACTAATTTCGTTCTGTTAATTCATTCTAGGGACCCATTCAGTGGAAAAAAAAAACTGTCACGGTACACCAATAGTACTATATAAAATGCAGAAAAGATAATCACTCAAATAAAATAAATATATTATCAATGAACCACCTATATATGTACTATATACACATGTGCTTGCATCTTTTTTTTTTTTAAAAAAAAATCCCTACAAAACTCATGCTAAGTTTGCCACAAAGGGTGCATGTGCATTGTGTGTGACTTTTCTCAAAGGAAAATTCAAGTCATTTTACTTTGAAAATGGGATGGTCTGGTTAGGTGGGATTGACCATATATGTTTAAAATAACCATGGTTGCCATCACTTGATCTTCCAGAGTACTAATT